AGTGTAGATGAACTATATTATCAGCCTGAGACTAATATTCTACCACACCCACACGAAGATGATCAAGGTTCTAACCATGCTGTACGTGTACGAGAGATCCCTGTTTTACCACTCAGCAGTGTAGAAGAACTATATCATCAGCCTGAGACTCAACACATCACAGTTAGTGTTGAATCTGCTGATCCTTATGTCATGATGTTGGAACACCTTCTAGACGACGATAGTGACAYTGACAGGGAATTCTGGAGTGACACCAGCAGCATCAATAGTGGCTGGAGTGACTGGGGCAACAGCAGTAGTGGTAGTGAAGGGGGTGACATTGAAGATAGTGATAGTGATGTGTGGAGGGATATAGCGGCTGAGGGATACGCTACAAGAATTCAGTCATCAGAGAATACCACTAGTGAATCAGACAGTGAGCAGTTACCAGACTATGAGACCATGATATCATCTGGAATACCACCATTGATTCGTGTTGCGAGCTGTCCTGTTACTGGACCAGCAAACATACAGATCTCAGCCTCTAATCTCCATCAGCAATCAGACAGTGAAATCAAGGAATCCATCGCCGCAACTGAGAGAAATACCTCAGCCGTGTCTGTCGTACAGACAACTGGACAACAACAGGCTGAACCACCATTCATGGACCTTATTCATTCTGTTCGTGCAAATATGACGAATCATCAGCCATCGTGCGATTCAAGTATACAAAACAACATTCCTGCCAACAGCAGTGTTAATAAAGACAACGAAATACGACAAAAGAAGACTGCGGTCAGACCGTCACAAAGGCTCAGCCACTATAATCAAGTTGCTAGCTGTTCTAACAACGTATCTACTTCATGTAAACGTAAAGCTGACATTCAACAAGTAATTATTGATGACCAAGACAGTGATAGTGATGTAAGTGAAGTATTTCCACCACCGCCTCCCCTGCAACGCCCAAAGCGACGTAGAGTCCAGCTTAATGATGATTTGTTCATCAAACCACTAACGCCTTGTGATGAGCTTCGGTTCATGGCTCGTGATTTGCACTTCAAGTGGATCACTATCGATGAAGCTGTCAACCGAATGAAAGACATATTTGATCGAGCACAAGAAATGCTTGAATTCTGGAGCAGACGACATATTGAATGTGGTCATATAGCATTAATGGCAACTATCAGCCAAGAAACTGTTCTACAGTTGATCTACAGCCTGATGATCGAGGAGGAAAACACAAACGACAATGAAGATAAAACTCGACAAGTGGCCCAGAAGGATTGGATGACTAACGGCAGCGATGACAGCGACGCTGATCACAATATAGGGACACATGGTGATGGAGAGAATGGTAGACCAACACCTGAGACTTACTGGGTGTCTTCTGACAGCGATGACAACGACGCTGATGATCTATAGCCGAGAATGGTGAGCTTCTTGGCGTAAGGTCAGGGCTAAAAGAAGAGGAGGTCGACTTCTTGATGTTGGAAGGACCAAGCAACAGATACGCCATTGATAGATATTTTTAGTGATTATTATTGACGATGTTTGTTTGTAAATGGACATGACTCAACTTTCTTAATTTTTTCCCCAAAAACTCAATGAAGATGTAATTGCAGTATTTTTATCTTTAACACTCTTTTATATACTCGGGTAATAAACTATTATCATTATTATTATTTAATAAAAGGAGTTATTTAAAAGATTTAGTGTATGTGTGGTGGAAATATATGAAATGAAAGTATACATGACAACCATATGAAATAAGAGGGCTCTCATCTAAAGGTCAGACTTTTTTCTGAGCTCTAGCTGATTCTGTGATCAACCATAAATAATATTATAGTAGTAATAAATTATGCGTTCGGTGTGTATATAATGAAGTATAGAGAATAAGAGAAAAATATCAAATGCCCTTGGCAGGATTCGAACCCACGTCTTCGGTATTCTAGTCCGATGTGTTAACCACTACACTACAAGAACCAACCACACTGGTAACGCAGCCAGAATATGAAATGTAGGGTATTCGTGAGGATATTTTTTCTCTATAGATAAGTTGAACACCGTTAAAGTGCACATGAACCCTTCGA